TTATAGTCAAATGGTACCATCGTTTAAAAAAAATTATAGACTTGTCCTTGATGATAAGAGACAACATCGACACCCTTTCATTAGCATTGCACCGGCGCCCTTCCCAAACCCCCATAAAGCGTTGTAAAACAAAACACCATTTTGAAGGGTGCAATGACCAGGTTTGGATACGTTAAAACATGTATATAACTTGGAATCCACGTCATTAACCTCTAACTACGTCCTACTGGTTGCAAGTTAAGATCTCACCATATAGAGTCACATACTGAAAATTATGACTAAATGTCTAAAAAAACAAGATGGATATCTGTAATATACAAGTTACATGTAACATAAAAATAAATATTATCCTATAAGAAATACAATATATATATATATATATATATATATATATATATTACATGTAAATAAATAAGTGAAACATAGCAGATTGGTCTAAAAACGTCTCCAACATGTATGCATATATTTTCTCGTTTTCCTTCAAATTTGAAGATTTTTCCAGTTTTTTCTCATTTTTTCCACTAGTTTAAGTTTAACATAGCTATTGGAGCAATTTTTTCCTAAATCTAAAAAATTTATAAAATAACGTAACTGCTAGATCGTCTAATAACCGTGATTTTAGATATCGGCTTTAAACAATTATGTGAAAACCAAAAGAGAACAAAGGCTTTTGCAGTGGGATCACAAACAATAACAATTACACTTTATAACTTATAAACGCTCCCTCCTTTCTCTTTTTTGAAGCTTACCAATAATATATATATATATATATATATATATATATATATATATAGGTATGTAGCTTTTGACAAAAAAAGTAATTAATAAAAGAACACGAAAATGGTTAAATCAAGTATAAAATCATATATGATTTTACACTAACAATCAATGCAAGGGTGTGTAAACAACGTGGCCAGTGACCTCAGGGTGTGTGAGCAACCACGTGTGATTTTACACGTTTTTTTTTTAATGTAAAATCACATGTGATTCGACCGTTTTTTTTTATTTGATTAATGTTCTCGTATATTTAGGGAAAAATCTCAAATAAATGAAAAACTAAAAAACATTTGATCAACCGTTAGATGAGATGATCTGATGGACGTAATTAAACGGACAGTTACAACAATATTTTTTAAATTAAAAACCCTTCGGACCCCTATTTTTTATTCGAAAAAGAATAAAAATAAACAAAATTCAAGAAAATTCATCCCTAGCATGAACCAAACAACCCCTAAGATATCATGGGCTCGTTTTCTCTAGAAAGTATTAACTCTTAAATAAACGATATTTCATCAGATGAAGCATTCTATACTATTTGTTGTATAAGAGCATCTCTAACAACTATGTTATACATTTTATAAAATAGAGTATTAGAAACCAAAATATTTAAAAGAAAAATTACATTCAACTCCAACAATTACTCTATTTTAACAATTCAACATTAAATATAGTATTAAAATATTAAATATATTTAATAAAAAAATTATTTTTTTCTCCTAAACGTTTATTCTCAACATCTCTTATATAAAGTTTTAAAGAATTTTTTGATTTAACGTGCGTTTTAAAATAGTTGTCAGTAATTGTGGTAATCTTATCAAGAAAATGATAAATGACAAATTGCATGAAAAAGTAACGTACTTTAACTTGATTCATATTTTGGATAACATACTTTCAAAACTTCCATTTTGATACATAAGATGTAAAGTGTTAAACATTTAAGTACTCGGGTATCCGGTTGAAGCATTAACCCGGTTACCATGCTGATGTGGTATCCGGCTCAGTATTATTTGCTTAAGCATTAACCGGATATCACATCACTCGCCACATTAGCATGATAACCGGTTAATGCTTCAACCGGTTACCCGATACTTAAATATTTAAAACCTTACGTCTTAGATACTAAATTAGAAGCTTTGAAAGTACGTTACTTAAAATATAAATAAAGTTAAAATACGTTACTTTTTCATGCAATTTGTTCAATGATAAATACATAAGAATAACATATTTTATTTTTCATAAATAAATGGAATTTAACTTATTTGGCGGGAAATTTTGTTGTGAAGAAAAGACTGGTAAATTTGGATGGTGCGATCATGTCCCTTTCCTTCCCCCCTCCTTTGTTTTATTACCTATAACTATAATATAGATTTATGACTTAAAACCTCGTTGGAACATGTTTTGCCTTGTCATATGTATCATTGCTTTTTCTAATGAAACTATACCATTTGAATATATATATATATATATATATATATAGTATTTGTTTCAAATGCAACTCATTATATTTGTACAACCAATGCAATCTAATAAAATAAAATAATTATGAAAATGATGAGAGTTCATTTATTATAATTTAAATATTTATGAAAAATGAATAAGATTCATTAATTATGATCAATACTTTATATAAAAAACAATCAAAACTTCTATAAAATCACATATTCATCAAATTAAATGGACGGTTGAGATTGAATTGTATTGTTTGTACAAATGTGAATGATTGACATATATTATTAATAGTAATTAATTTTAATCATACATTTTACATTTATATTAATTACTTAAAATTATTATTAATTATATATCAATTATCTTTATTTTTATTCATATAATATGTAACCTTTTTTAAAAACATAGATTAATGTTGATTTCTAGAAATTGTTTTAACAAATCTAAAATAATTTGAATTTTTTTAATTAATATATTGTATTCTTTAATTTTTCTTTACTATAATGTTTGTATTAATTAACATATTATATTATTATAGATTTATTTAATTATATTATTAAATGTTCTAGTTGACAGATATTTTTAAGGCTTGTTTGGCAAACTAGTTGATAAGTTAACTAATGACTGATAAGTTAGTTGATGATTGATAAGTTAGTTGTTGGCTGATAAGCTAGTTGATGAACAAATTATGTTTGACAAAAAAACTTATAAATAGGAGTGCTCAAAAAACCGACCAACCCGATCAACCTAACCCAATCCAACACGAGATAACTCAACCCAAATTAATCTGATGTCTAATCGAGTTGTAAAATCTTCAAACCGAAGGTATCAGGTTCATATTGAGTTACTTTTATTTGAACTCAACTTAATCCAATAAACTCGATATCATTTTATTTCTTAAATTTAATATGATTGATAAGTCTCTATTAATATGACATAAGTCAATTACATCATCATGTAACCTCTTCATATGCATATATTTCTAATTTATTGTCCATATCTATATAATTCTTTTATATATATGTTCAGCAACTATATATATATATATATATATATATATATATGTAAATACAAAAAATTAATTGAATGTGATATACTTAAAAGTTTAAGAAGTAAGATAATTTGTACCAAATGATTAATGATAATAAATAATAATATTATGAGTAGACTAAGAGAACAAATTATCAACTCAACCAGCCCGACAACCCGTATGGTTTGGGTTGCATTTTGGTTTGAATTACGTTAGGTTGAGATTTTTCAAATGTTTTCAACCCTATCAACTTAACCCATGAGAACCTTACTTATAAGCATGCAAAATAACGAAAAATGACATCTTAAGAAAATAGTCAATTACAATATTTCATAATATAATTCAAATAAATTTATAATAACATAATTAAAACAAATTTCTAATAATATAGCATGTTAATAAATAGAAACAAGATAGTAAAGAAAAATTAA